TAGATAGATAGATAGATAGATAGATAGATAGATATAAAAATAATAAGATAGATAGATAGATGGATAGAAATAATATAGAAATATGATAAATAAAAAATATAAAAAGATAAATATATATGATATAGCATGGATAGAAAAGAAAAAAGAAGATAGATAGATAGATTAATAATATGATAATAGATAGATTGATTGACTGATATGATAGAATGAAATAGATATTCAGATAAATATAGATAAAATATAAATAGATAGATGTGGTATGGGTAGATAGTTAAACTGAAATGAGATAGATAAATTAATGCGAAAAATAAAAAAATTGATAGAATATATATGAGATAGATAGATAGATAGATAGATAGATAGATAGATAGATATGATAGATAGATAGATAGATAGATATGATAGATAGATATAGATATATTGATATAGAATATTATAGATAGATAATAAGATATTGATAGATAGATAGATAGATAGATAGATGATAGATAGATATGGATAATGATAAATATGATTAAATAATAATAGAAGGCAGAAGAATAGAATATAATAGATATATTGATTGATTGACATGAAAATGAAAAAGAGATAGATAGATATAGATAGAAATAAAATATAAATAGATAGATAGATGTGGTATGGGTAGATAGTTAAACAGAATGACAGACAAAATGATGGGAAAAATAAAAATTGATTGATAGATAGAATAATATAGATAGATAGATAGATAGATAGATAGATAATAGAATATGTGATAAAAATAGATTGAGAATAGAATAATATGATAGAAAGATAGATAGATATAGATAGATGATAGATAGAAAGAAGATAGATAGATAGATAGATAGATAGATAAAATATATATATAAAATAGATTGAAATAGAAATAAAGATAATTATAAAATAGATAATGGAATGATAGATAGATAAATAATAGATAGATAGATACTGATATAGAAATAGATAGATAGATAGATAGATAGATATAATTGATAGTAAAAAACAGAAAAAGAAAATAATAGACATAATATGTGAAAAAAAAAATAGATTGAGCAATAGAATAATATGTGATAGATAGTTATCGTATTGATAGATAGATAGATAGATAGATAGATAGATAGATAGATAGATAGATAGATATAGGTATGGATGGACAGAGAAACAGAAAAGCAGACAGAATGGTGTGGAATATAAAATAACAGAATGATTGATTAAATGAAATGAAGACAGATAGACAGAGCATAGATGGATAAAAAAAAAGATAAATAGATAATAGATAGATAGATAGATAGATAGATGATGATATATAGATATATGATAAATAGTATATAGATAGATATATAGCTATAGAAAAATAGATAGATAAACAGAAAGATATGACAGAAGGATGTGAAAAATAAAAACAGATTGAAAATAGATAGAAAATATAATAATAGATAGATAGATAGATAGATAGATAGATAGATAGATAAAATAGATAGATAGATAGATAGATATGTATAGATAGATAGTTAAACAGTAAGATAGACAAAATGATGTGTGATAAAAATAAAATAGATAGATTGATTGATAAAATGAATATAGATAGATAGATAGATAGAGATAGATAGATAGATATAGATAATATATAGATAGATAGATAAAATAGATAGTTAAAAATAGAAAGATAGACAAAATCATGTAAAAAAAAAAAGATTGATAGATGAAATGCCCTAAAAATCGATGTAAGATAATAGTTAGTTATTGATAGATAGATAGATAGATAGATAGATAGATAGATAATGATAGATAGATAGATAGATAGATATGATAATAATAGTTATAATAATAGATAGATAGAATGGTGTGGAATAATAAAGATAGACAGATTGATTGAATGAAATGAGGCAGATAGACAGATAGATAGATGGATAAATATATAAATAGATAGATAGATAGATAGATAGATAGATATGGTATTGATAGATGAACAGATAGATTACATATGGATAGATATGGTATTGATAAATAGATAGATATGGTATTGATAGATGATAGATAGATAGATAGATAGATATGGTATAGATAGATAGATAGATAGATAGATAGATAGATAGATAGATAGATATATGGTATGCATGGATAGTTAAAGAGAAATTCAGACAGAATGGTGTGGAATATAAAGAAAGATTGACAGATAGATGGATTGATAGATAGAGTTAAACAGAAAGATAGACAAAATCATGTAAAAAATAAAAAAGATTGATTGCTAGAAAGAATAATATTAGTTAGATAGATATAGGTATGAATAGATAGATAGATAGATAGATAGATAGACAGACAGATAGATAGATAGATAGATAGATATATGGTATTTAGAGATAGATATGCTACAGATGGATAGTTAAACAGGAAAGAAAGACAAAATCATGTAAAAAATAAAAAAGTTTGATTGCTAGAAAGAATAATATTAGATAGATAGATATGGTATTATTATTATTATACAGTATTTATAAAGCGCCAATAGTTTTCTCAGCGCTCTACATTACATTAACCTCCTTGGCGGTATTCCCGAGTGTAGCTCGGGGTAACATTTCAGTACCAAAAGCGGTAACCCCGAGCTACACTCGGGAATACCATGCGGCGCTGCTCCGGCATGTGTTCTTCACTTACCTTACCCAGCGCTCCCACGATGTGTCCCCTGCAGCGTCCCCGGCCATCTCCTCCGGCCGATGCCGGCATCCGGCTTCTGTGTCCTGTCCCTGTGACGTCGGGACGTACGGGCGCCACCGCCGGCGGCGGCGGGGGAAATTTAAAAATTTTAAAAAATGTCATTTTTTTTTTTTTTTTTCATTTTACACAGTAAAACATTGCTGTTTCAACCTATTTCACATACATATTGTCCCTAGTGCTTTGTCCTGTGCCCTGCCTGCATTTTGTCTGTTTTTTCTGCCTGGAAACTGAGAAATGTCCATGGCGTCCAAAAAGTGTCCCTTTAGGTCAAAAGCGGTTTAGATCAGCTAGAGAACAGCGATAGTAAATCAGAACCACTTACAGAATTGAGTGATATGATTCGTGGGGGAAATTCGTCATCAGAAACTGAAAATGATTTTGCGACTGAGCTCAGCAATGTGCGAACTTGGCGCTCTATTTCACATTTCAGTGTTTTTGGTTTGATTATATTATTGAATTAAATTTTTTATTATTTTTATATTATTTTTATGATTATTTATTAAATTATAATTTATGATTTTGTGTTTCAAATTTTATCCTACCCGGGATGTTTACTAGACTCTTGTTCGGACAGATTTCAGTGAGTTTTTCCTAAAAATTACAGCCTACAATAAAAAAAATACATATTTCCATGCAAAAAAATGGTACCGCTTTCAGCACCAAAAATCTGAAATAATCATACCGCCAGGGAGGTTAAAGGGGGACAGAACATGTTACAGAACAGCAACAATTCAATGCAAAAACATGAGGGGATCGAGGGCCCTGCTCTTTTGAGCTTACAATCTAGGAGATAGATAGATAGATAGATAGATAGATAGATAGATACATACATACATACATACATAATATATGGATATATATGGCATTTATAGATATATAGATACATACATAATATATGGATATATATGGCATTTATAGATAGATAGATATGCTATAGATGGATAGTTAAACAGAAAGATAGACAAAATGATGTGAAAAATAAAAAAGATTGATTGCTAGAAAGAATAATATTAGATAGATAGATAGATAGATATGCTACAGATGGATAGTTAAACAGAAAGATAGACAAAATGATATAAAAAAAAAAAGTTTGACTGCTAGAAAGAATAATATTAGATAGATAGATATGGTATAGATAGATAGATAGATAGATAGATAGATAGATAGATAGATATATAGATAGATAGACAATTATGGTATTCATAGTTATGGTATTGATAGATAAGTAGATATAGATATGGTATGCATGGATAGTTAAACAGAAAAACAGACAGAATGATGTGGAAATATAAAGATAGACAGATGAATTGATTGAATGAAATGAGGCAGATAGACAGATATAGATGGATAAAATATAAATAGATAGATAGATAAATAGATAGATAGATAGATAATATATGGATATATATGGTATTTGTAGATAGATAGATATGCTATAGATGTATAGTTAAACAGAAAGATAGACAAAATGATGTAAAAAATAAGATTGATTGCTAGAAAGAATAATATTAGATGGATAGATATGGTATTGATAGATAGATAGATAGATAGATAGATAGATAGATAGATAGATAGATAAATAGATAGATATGGTTGTAAATGAATAGTTAAACAGAAGGACAGACAGAATGATGTGAAAAATGAAAATAGATTGAGTGATAGATGGAATAATATGAGAGAGATAGATAGATAGATAATAGATGAATAGATATGGCCACGGACACCACTCAAAGTAAAATCAGGAAATAGACTGCTTTATTTTAACACAGATACAAGATATATACGCAGGGCGGGGCAATACACACCCAGTAACAAGAAACACATCAGCAGACAGTCCCATCAGGGGGAAGGGCTGCCAGAAACACCCCCCCTCCGCCAAGCCAATACACAAACACATACATCCCATAATAGTTTGCTCTCAAGCAAGACACACAATAGAACAATGGGATACAACCACATGGCATTAAACAATGAACAACCCCCAAACCAATATTAGAACATTTCACCCTGTACCCCTAACAGGCACAGGGTGACTTACACATAATAGGGATATAGGGAGCTGAGACAGGGGTCTCCCCACCTCTCCAAAGTGAGCTGTGTTTCATGGGCCCCCCACTCAAAGTGACTCCCGCCACAGAGGGATAGTTAACCGCCTCCCGCTCGCCATATACAGTAGTACAAATACGGGCGCAAGGAGGTTCTCACGTTCTGGGAGGAGGACGACATATGACTTCGTCCCATTCCAACTGCATATGCGCGGCTCCGGGAGCGTGCAGCGTGGCGATCGGTGGTGTGCTGTGTCCCTCGGACACAGTGGATCACCGATCAATGGAAAGAGCCGAAGATGTCGGCACGGTCATGTGATCAGCTGTGTCCAATCACAGCTAATCACATGTAAACAGGGAAATGCCGGTTATCGGCATTTCTCTCCTCATGAGCTGTCACACTGACACACCGGCTTTCCGCGGAGGGGACATGTACACTGATCATCAGAGCACTGATAATCAGTGTGCCCTGATGATCTGTGTAGCCCCAGCAGTGCCACTTGTCAGTGTCCATCAGTGCCACCTGCCAGTGCCCATCAGTGCCACATTTCAGTGCCTACAAGTGCACATCAATGCCACATATCAGTGCCCATCTGAGCTGCCTTTCATTGTCACCCATCAGTTCCAGTCAGTACCACCTATCAATGCCAGTCAGTGCCACCTATCAGTGCTGCCAGTCAGTGCTGGATATCAGTGCCAGTCAGTGCCGCCTATCAGTGTGCATTAGTGCCACCTATCAGTGCCCATCAGTGCTGGCTATCAGTGCTGCCTAACAGTGCCAGTCAGAGCCACTTAACAGTGCCAGTCAGTGCCGCCTATCAGTGCGAGTCAGTGCCGCAAATCAGTGCCATATATGAGTGCTGCCTTTCAGTGCCCATCAGTGATGCCTGTCAATGCCCATCAATGCCACCTACCAGTGCTTCCTCATCAGTGCCCATAAGTGCCACCTATCAGTATCCATCAGTGCAGCCTATCAATGCCCATCACTACAGCCTCATTAGCGCACATCAGTGAAGGAGAAAAATCACTTCTTTCCAAAATTTTATAACAAAAACTAAGAAAAGAAAAAATTTTCAGTGGTTTTTTGGTTTGTTTAAGAAAAAAACCCATAGGTGATTAAATACCACCAAAATAAAGCTCTATCTGTCCCAAATTTTTTTTTATAAATATTTCATATGGGTACAGTGTTGCATGACCGCGCAATTGTCATTCAAAGTGTGACAGCGCTGACAGCTGGAAATTGGCCTGGGCAGGAAGGGGGTATAAGTATAAGTACCCTGTAGGCTAGGGGTTAAACAGAAAGATGGGCAGAATGATGTAAAAAATAAAAATAGATTGCTAGAAATAATAATATGAGATAATAGATAGATTGTTGTCCAAAACAAAACAAAAATGAATTACGCTGCAGATTGTAGGAATTTGCTTCCTAACTACAATCCAGATCTGGGGTCGGCAGCCCATTGATTGCGATCGCCTGGTTGACCGTGGGGAGCCGACATGTTGATCGTGACCGCGGTACTGCCTCCCCCTCAGCCTCCTCCGCTCTCATGTTACCGGCAGAGGGGAGAGCAGGAAGCAGCATAGTGCTGGAAGGAGGACGGGGTCAGGGGCGGAAGCTGCTCAGTGGTTGGTTGCTAGGCTGTTCTAGCAGCCAATCACCAGCTTGGTATTATGAACTTCCACCCAGCACTGTGTTGTCTTCTGATCTCCGCTCTGCTGTACACATACTGACAGGTAGGCAGTGCTACCCGTGTGTGTGATATGGAGGGAAAACCATGGGAGGGGGGACAGAGAAGGCACTGTTGGAGGGGTGAACAAAGTAAACTATAGTGGGGGTGATTTTCATGAGAAAAGGACAGGGGACACTGCTTTGGGGGATGTGGAGGCAGAGGACACTTTGGGGGGGGGGGGGGGGCAGAGAATGCTGCTATGGGGCAAGGTAGAGGAAGGGGGGGGGGATGTGAAGGGGGGCAAAGGATACTGCTTTGGGGGGTACAGGACACTACTGTGGGGGGAGAGGGCCAATGGACACAGCATTGGGGGGTACAGGACACTACTGTGGGGGGGGGGGGAGCAGAGGACACTACGGTGGGATAGGGTGATGTAAAGGGGGCGGAGGACACTGCATTGGGGGGGGGGGGGGAGTGATTTTTTTTTCTAAGAGCGCTGCCTAGTAACCCTCCTCATTCCCCAGGGGATCTTTGCTTTACTCCATGTTGTCCATGTAAACCTCAACCTCAGAAAGGTTTGCCTAGCCCTGATCTAGATCCTTCTGCAGATGTGAATAGTGAATACAGTTGCCACCTCACCCCTCTAATCCCAAACACATATTAGATACACAGGTCCTGAGGTGGATTTAATGCAGATAAGGCACTAAGTGAGTTTAATCACCACCTTAATCTGTGCCTGTGTCATTAATATGTGTTCGGTTTTTAAGGGATGAGGTGGCAACCCTAATAGTGAAATTTTCTTTTCACCCTAAACTGTGCTGTGTGCTGTGATATATACCATAGTTTGTGGACTCTATAACGGTCCTACAGACTAAATAATATACACTAATTTGGGTTATTTTCACCAAAGAAATGTTGCAGTATACATTTTGGCCCACGTTTATGAATAACAATTATTTATTTGCAAAATTTTAGAAACAAAGTGAGAAAAAAGAGAAAAAGAAAAACTTTTCAAAATTTCCAGTCTTTTTTTGTTTATTTAGCAAAAAATAAATAGACCCAGTGGTGATTAAATACCACCAAAGTAAAGTTCTATTTGTGTCACAAAAATTATAAAAATTTAGTTTGGGTACAGTGTTGCATGACTGCGCAACTCTTATTCAAACAGTGAGAGCGCCAAAAGCTGAAAATTGGCCAGGGCAGGAAGGGGGTAAAAGTGCCCAGTAGACAAGCGGTTAATAAATGTATTCTTCTATTCAGCTGCTCACACTGGAAACAAACCCAAAAAAGAGTACCTTAGAATAGTACATTTTATTACCCTTAAAAACTCATGCTCCAGAAAGTATTGATCTCACATTCACCAGTAATATACAAACCACACCATTGCCTAATTCACCTCCAATATGTCTGGTTTTCAGTATTTACGATTTGCAATCCAGCTGCCAGAAATTACAAAAGCGGATATGACATCATACATGAAGCCTGGTTCTGCTTTTTGAGCATTTTTTGGGATCATCTTTGCATATACAATAACTTTTAAATATCTAACAGGTCAGAAGGATTTTGTATAATATAAATGTGATGTTCACATGATCACAACCATGTATGAGCTACATTACCCAATATGTGCGATATTTGTTATAGCCTGGCTTTAAGATTTATAAATAAAATATATGAATTATGTTTTTTTTCCAATATGCCAAATATATGATATTATTCTATCCTTCATATCACCCACTGTCTATAGGGGTGACTGTAGCAATCGTGCACACAGAGATGGACGCGGCCATCCATGTTGCTCCAAGGCCTCCATCTTGTATCATTTTCTACTCCAAATCCCCTCTCCCTCTCTGTTGAGTGACATGTGGTCTGGATGAGGCAGAGGTCACAGGCAATCAGGCTCAGCGGGAGAGCTCCAGGGCTATAAAACCCCAACCTAGCTGGTGCCTAGATGTCTGTTAGCTTCTCAATCTGGGATATCATAAAGCCATAAACCAAGTCCCTCACTGAGCTTCAAAGACATTCCAGAAAACCGTAAACCAGACCTCACATTCAAAAATCCATTCTCCCCTATGATTTCCTATCTTGGACTGTGAAAGACGTACATAAAAACCAGGCATATATTCAGATCAGTCACTTTAATACAAATCGTCTGATATATTACACCCCCTAGCTGACAGCTACAGGAGAGCAGAAAATAATATCTCCTTAACCATCCCAGCAGGTATGTCAAATTTCATATCTAGATGTTCAGCAGATGATTCTGCATAATAATCTACCCGTGAATATTACATGTACCTAGGAAACGTTATTGACCATAGTATAATTTGTGAGGGATTTGGTCATACCCTGAGCTCCCCGCCTACACCACCCCTCCCCAAATGAGGCGATTGGTTCTCTGCTTTAAGGAGACAACCCTGCTGAGTTCCTAGAAAAAGGCTGTTATGCTTGGAGTTAAGCTAAGCTGAGTTGAGCTAAGTTAAAGAAATCTCCCTTTTAACATCAGGAACCAGCTTTGGGAGATAAGGTGCCCTTCTGCTCTGAAACTTGATCTGCTTAAACCAGGAATACCGTTATCCCCAGATGTTAACCCCTGCCTATCCAGTGCCATTAGTAGAGTTTCAGTGCTTTTTATTTAGAGGATGTCTGTACTGTCCTGACATTTTTGGGCCTCAAAAAATTAGATCAGTGTTGTTAGTACAACAGGATACACAACTTAACAACACTTTGAGGCTATAACAGGTTGCATTGGAAAGGGTGTCTGTGGGAATTTGGCCCATTTAGTAAAAAAAAGCATTTGTGAGGTCTAGTACTGAAATTGAACAAGAAGGTCTGGCATGTAATAGGCATATGAGTACATCCCAAAGATTTTCAATAGGGTTGAGGTTAAGGCTCTGTGAAGGCAACTCAGTTTCCTCCACACCAAGCTCATCAAACCATATCGTTTTGGACCTGACTTTTGGGCACAGTCACATCCTAAATCTGTCATCACAAGGCTGAAAGCACACAGTTGTTTAATATTTCTTTGTATGCTGTAACATTAACAAGAACCTTCATTGGAAACACCTGCACTCAATAATTAGGAGCGGGTGATACATACAGTCATTTTTGCCATATAGTATGTGAGATTGTCAGGTGTCCACAAACTTTTGATCATATACTGTATAACGATCATAAACCCAATTGTGCCTTATAATGAAAGGACCTTTAAAAAATCCCTGGAAAAATGGAAAGTGTTTCCAGATGCTAATGTATATAAGAGACATCCAAATGTCTATTAGTGAGTACCTAAAATGATAACGGTATTCCACCAGGTGTAGGTAGGGACAAATATATCTCTGGAAATCTTTTAATGAAATTATAATTGTCAATAACTCTCATATATCCAGAGCCAGGGGCGTATCTGCCGTGAGGCAAACAAGGTATTTGCCTAGGGCGGTATTTTACAGGGGGGAGCACGGACCCCCAGGGAGAAGGGACACTGTGTGTGTCAGCGTCAGCGGCAGGGCCGCCATGAGTGAGGGTACAACCAAGCCAATCTGACACACAAGGAGGGTCACCCGGGCCAAGGGACCAGCTGCAGAGGAGAGCAGAGAGGTGGGCAGATCTCCGGTGTGTGCTTGGAGTGCGTGAGGGCCGGTGTCAGTGTGCGCTGGGATGTGCAGGATGGGCCAGAAGGTGCCAGCGGAGGAGGAAGAAGAAGAGGACGAGGTCAGGGTGGAGGAGCCCCCCGCTCTTTTGCATCCACTGCCGGAGATCCTGGGGGAGATGGGACACAGGCGCCACTCCTTGAGTGATGCTGACACCATCTGGAGGAGCAGCTGCTGGGCAGGTAAGTGCTTGGAGGATTGGTGCTTCCCCACTCCTGCCTCACTGTCCCCCTGACACACTGCCCCCCACCTGTTCTACTTCCCTCCCCCCTCCCATTGCCCCCCATCCATCACACTGCCCCCTGTCATGCTGCCCCCACCTGTCACCCTGCCTCACACCTGTTCCACTTCCTCCCTCCTGTCCCCCACATTGTCCCACTACCGCCCATCTGTAGTAAACCAATTAATTTACACGTATTGGGATTTTTTTTAGCAAAGACATGTTGCAGAATGCATTTTGGACGAAATTTGTGACAAAATTAGATTTTTTATTTTTTTTTACTGA